GGACGATAGTTTTCCTTAGACTGTCGATCATCCTTTTTGAAAATAGGTATAACATTTGCTTTCTTCCATGCAGACGGAAAAACTCCCTTGGAAAAAGAAATATTAATAAATCGTGAAAAAGAACTCGCAATACCATGGGCACAAGTTTTAATTAAAAAGTTACCTATACCATCGACACCACAAGCCTTGGAAACATCTATTATACTTAATAAATTTCTAACTTCAAACTCAGTTGTGGATAAATGTGAAATAAACCTGGAATTTTGAAAATCAATTACATTAGGTATCGGCGCATCATTGTTATCCACTTTACACTGAGTAATAAAGTACTGGTTAAAAATTGTGGCTTTTTCTTTTGCATCAGTTATTATGCGATCGCCATCAGATAGTGGCGGTATTGATTAATGTATTTTACTTCCGTATAACGATTTGACCATGCCCCACCACTTCTTTGTTCCTAATTTGGGGTCCTGTAATTTCGTATTTAACTTTTCGAAGTATTTTGCTTTACATGAACGTATAAGTGTCGTTGTTAAATTTCTTTGCAATCTATATCTTTCCCAAGTTATCGAGTTTTTCCTTCTACAATAGAATTTAAGCAGTCTATTCCTTTTACGAATAGCATTCCTAATTTTGGAATTCATCCAAGGTTTATCGTTTGGGCGAACTACAATCGTATAATTCGGTACATGCGTCTCAAGTATTTCCTTAAAACACTCAAACCACTTAGTATACAAAGCATCAACATTCTCAACGTTCATAAATACCTCATCCCATTTCGCACTAGTGAGGGCCGCATTCAATTTATTCCGATCTATCTTAGAAAAATTCCAAACATGTCGCGTATAACATTCAGGTTTGGCCAAAGAAATGCTCATACGAGCATATATCAGACAGTGGTCACAGTTACTCGGCGGGCTTAAAGTTCCAGAATTTACGAAATAACCCGGCGAGTTTGTAAATATAAGATCCAATAACGTGGCACTATGTTCAGTAATACGCGTCGGTTCATTAATTACTTGAAAAAGACTATTACACTCCATCAGTCTATACAAACATGATCCAAAATCATTACTAGGCTGAGAATTTTCCATAACAAAATTAGCATTAAAGTCCCCAAGCAGCAAAACAAAGGTACCAGGTGTTTGGTAAATTTCATCCAAACAGAATTGCAAATGATCTAAAAAAGCATTGTTTGCAGCAGAATTATAATTAGGTGGGCGATAACACACCCCACAAACAAAGGACAATGAATTAATTCTAACATCAACAAAAAGTAATTCGAAATCACTGTGTTCAAGATCATTACGTCTTTTAGATGCAAAATTGGATGAGATATACAAAGCTATGCCCCCCGCCCTTCTATCATTACTTCTATCATTACTTCTATCCCGTCTGAACATAGGGCTAAAGCCAGGAATGCATAATAAATCACTAGAAATTTCCTGATTTAGCCAAGTTTCAGACACTGCAAAGATATCAAGCCGCTGTTCAACAACAAGAGAAGTAATCTCATCAAATTTTTCTTCAACATTCAAACTTCTAGCATTAATATGACCAACGTTTAAAGTTAGGTTTCTAGATGGACCAGGATTAACCTCAACATCTTCGGACAGTAAAATTAATGACATTTTAAATATAAAAAATGCCATAAAACATCCCAAACGTCCGCTTGCTATTTTGGCATGAAAATATGATTTACACAAACTGACTTTATAACAATTAAATTTCCCGATATTTGCTCTGTAAATTTCCAAACTAACCCCCATCAAATTCGCACAATACAAAATAGACAACACTTACCTCGGGCTGCACAAGATTACACAGAAAGAAAATTAAATTATGAAAAAATAACACAGCGTAAAGATCAAAGGATTCACTAAACATGTAAAAAAATATATAGTCAATGAAGCATGTTTGGAATGAAGGCGGGATAAATCATTTTAATAAACAAATGTCGTCCTTAGACTTGATTCGGACAATCTTTTCGTCAGCCATCTTAACCAGTACTTTACCGTCCGTCGTCCACACAGAGAGGTTGATTAGATCTCTTCTTGCCGAGTCGAATAAGATTTTGTTCACTAAAGTAAGGTCTTCATTGATGAATTTCTTACTTCCTTTCAAATTTCGCCGATGTTTTAAGACCTTCAGCTTTGACTGATATGACAAGAATTTAACTATCATAGCACGTGGAGTTGAATCGTTCCTTTGCTTCCCAACTCGATGTGTTCGATCAATTTCGCTTACAGCTACATCGCACTTCAAACAATTTCGGCAGAAATCAACAACAGCGTCGTAGCAATTCTCCCCTTTCTCCTCCGCTATACCATATATTCGAACATTATATATGCATGTACCTGAAAAATACGAAGATAAATTTCAAGTTTCGAGCGAAGGCCCTTAAATTCGCCCGGCTTTCGGTCGAAATGTCGAATTTCTCGAAACTAAAATGCGACTGTACAGGCGAACAGTAAATAGTAAATAGATAAATTATTGCTTTCAAACAGTAAATACTTGGACATTTACAAAATAGACAGAAGTAGACATTTGCAGACAGTTAATAAATTTACAAACAATAAATAGACAAACTAAAATTTAAATATACAGACAAGAGCAAGTTTTCTTTTAATTTACAAGTTCATCCCTATCAAATTTGTCTTGACATGTAGATTCTAACTTTTGTGCGTATAACGTTGACAATTTTTCCTTGTAATTAAGTACTTTTTCTTAAAGTGCATATGACATGAAATTTCTTATTTTCTAAAATGAAAGAACTCTTTAAGTTGTAGTGTAATTTATGTTTCAGTTTCTTGTTTTTATGGTTTTTTCCCGAGATATTTCAATTTGTTTGATATGTAAATGAGCGTGAATATGTCCGCTAATTTATGACGTCATGTTGGTTGCAAGCTCAACTTACACTGGTTATACATGTATTAACTCTAAAAACTGTTGGTAACAGTTTACGTTTTTCTCCAGTGTTTCATAACATTTACCAGTGAGTGAAGTTTGAAATTATCATCTTGGATGATAGCAGTGATATCCAACCATTTTGAAGAGCTTGCAACCAACATGACGTCATAAATTAGCGGACATATTTGCACTCATTTACATATCAAACAAATTGAAATATCTGAAGAATAAGTTACACTACAACTTAAAGAGTTCTTTCATTTAAGAAAATAAGAAATTTCATGTCATACGCACTTTAATAAGTTATAAGACAAGTGAAATTATGTTGAGCATGTCAGTTTTACGAGCAAATCAAAGTTGTCCGGCGAGAAGAAAGAATTGATCGTACGCGTGAGTAAACGTCCTGCATGTGGCAAAGAAAACTGATCTGTTCCTCTGGACTCACATGTGGAGAAACAGGGTGATGATGGTTAGGGGCGCCGAATCCAGGGAAGCAGCGAAGGCAACCGCCGCCTTTGCCAAAACAGTGCGAGGGCAGTATAGACCTTGCCCTTGTTTACAAAAACTACACGTCGAAAGTCGTGCGTTATCGATATGAAATACATTTGGAAAGTGTTTTCAAGCAAGTAATTAGCTCAAATTTAAATCTAAAATTCCTCTCAGAAATGTTACCAAGGTTTCCAGCTTGTCAAAAAGAAAGCTTTCCTTAATAATTGACAAACTGTCATGTTGTTTTGCAATAGATATTAGTCTTTCTTGTCATGCAACGAATATTAGTGAGCTAGAAATAATATTTATATGGCTTAAGCACGCGACGTTTTTATCAACACGACGAGGGGGGACTGGATTAATTAAAAATAGGTACGCATGAAGTATCTCTCATTCTGAGCCTGCGATGCCTTGATGGAAAGTCAATTTCTCGTCGATGGAAAACCACAATAGCGTCGACACGAGATGGATTTAAAGCGATAGGCCGCGCGCGGCCATCGCAATTAAAAACAGCAAAGCTTTAAGGTCCGGACGCGATTCGACAAAGCGACGCTTTTTTTTTTTAGTTTTTGAAAGTTAATAAAACAGCCAATGTGAGCAAATTTTGAAAGATATGTAGACCAAATAACTCAAAATGTTATACCACTTGTAAATATTTCAAAAATTTAAACTAGAATGAAAGTTATGAATATGAGTCAGTGAAAACCGAAAAATCGAGTCGCGTTGTCGAATCGTGTCCGGTGTGTCTGGACCTTTACCTACCTCAATCTATTTTTCTATGTCGCTCAATTATGTAAATTTTCGGCGAACAATCAATATATCAGTGTTTTCCTCGACGAAAACCATGGACGAAAACGTGCATGAGTGATTCATATCACATGAAAATGCTCGTGAGAAAATCTCGGTGTCTGTCGTACTGTCGGAATCTGCCACGTGGTTTGGTACGCTCACCGCCGCACGACACGAAATTTAGAGCTATATGAAAGTTGCATGCCATATATGGCATGCAACAAAAACTGTGTTTGTTTCAGTTTGTGGTAATCTTCAACGCATATGACAAAACATGAGATTTTTAAGGTTTTTTGCTTCCTTATGCGAGTGCTATGATGCAAAACGTCGCCAAAATTTAATATACCAATTTTCGGGTGACGTCCGTGATGACAAAACGAATCAGTGTATTCGTACAGCAAATTTTTAACGAACCTGCCGCCCAAAAAAATGAATGCTCCGAAGTAAGTGCCCTTTTTTATGGCTGGCCCTGCGGCTTTCGGTGTCCCTGATGATGATGTACTACGAGGCTTTATTTCTTGATAAATAGAGCATAATGTAAATTTAGAACTGTTGCGGTGAGTAGCTACTGTTCAAACCTGTCAGACACAATCTTATGTCACACGTGTTACCTGTTACCTGGATACTGTTATGACGGGTCGTTAGTACTTAGTAACGGCGTATTGCCGGCGTTCCTTGTATTTATTAATATTTTTATTATTCTACATTTTAATTATTACTCGGTTTTGCACAGGTTGCGCCTGACATCATGCTACTTCCCGCAGCGTATTGATGGCAGGTTACGAGTCCAAGACCTTCCTCAGGATTCCTGCCGTTCCAAGCAGTCCGATGAAATTTCGAACTCTTTATCAATATGGTGTCGCATCCATTTGGTTCTGAGGGCTTGGTTTTGGGCTGCTAGGATCATTCCTTCTGTTTCCTTTTTTAGTGTTCCCTTCCTTAACCATTGCCATGTTGCTTCCTCACCTCTTATCTCCTTTGTTCCTTTCCAAAATACAGGATGTACTTCTTTTCAAGGAAACTTTCTTTTCTTCTATTTATGATGGTTTTCTTCCTTTCTTTTGGATCTTCTTCTTCCTTGAAAATGTTTTCTATCTTGACCTCCTTTAAGAACTCTTCATCTGTCTTGGTGAGGTAGTGTCCTAGGCTGCATTTTTCAATTTATACAACATCTTCCACACTCTGCAATCCTCTTCCTCCTTCAACCCTCTTCCAATATAGCCTGTCCACATCATCTCTCGGGTAGAAGCACTTATAAATAGTAAGTATCTTCCTTGTCTTTCTGCCCACTTCCTTTAGTTCTTCTTTTGTCCATGCAATTACCCCTGCTCCATACCTTATGATTGATACAGCCTGCGAATTGATTGCCTTGATGATATTTCCTGCATTCAATTTGGACTTGAGGATCTTTTTCATTCTTCTGAAGTACTCACTACTCGATCATTTTAGAGTATTTCTTTCATTTCATCACTTTTCAATTTATCACATTCCAAAATCCCTAGGTGTTTATATCCTTCATTTTTCTCCAATACTTTGATGGTTTCTCCATTGGGGAGGTCAATACCCTTGTTCTCTACCATTCGTCCTCACCTTATTACCACCATTGCACACTTTTGGATTCCAAACTCCATGCCAATGTCATCACTAATACCCCTTACTATCTGGACTAGAGAATCTAGTTCCTTCACATTTTTTGCACAGAGTTTGAGGTCATCCATGAACAAGAGGTGGTTAATATGACCTCTGTTTTTTCCAAGCTGGTATCCTGTCCTTGTTAGCATTCAACACCATAGTCATAGGCATCAGTGTCAACACAAACAGCAATGGTGACAGACTGTCTCCTTGGAATATCCCTCTCCTGATCTTTACTTTCCCTCTCCCAGTGTTTCTCCTCCAGATGTCAATTCGACTCTCCATGTCTTCATTGATTTCTCCAATGTTCTTTTTACATTGTCTGCAACTCCAAATCACTCCATACATTGCTTGATCCACGAATGTGGGACCATATCGTAGGCTTTTTTGTAATCAATCCAACGTACAGCGAGATTAGTCAGTCTCCTTCTGTAGTTTTTGAGGATCATTTTGTCGATCATAAGCTGATCCTTTGTCCCTCTACATCCTCTACGACAACCTTTTTGTTCTGGCGGCAGAATCTGCTCCTCCTACAGATGATTGTACACACTTTGTCCAATAATTCCTGTCAAAAGTTTCCACATCAGAGGCAAGCACGTTATTGGGCGGTTGTTTGATACTAGACCACTTTTGCTTTGGTCTTTCAGTATTAGGCATGTTCGACCTTTTGTCATCCACTCAGGTACTACACCCATCTCTAAACAACCATTTAGTTGTTCTCTCATGTAGGTTTGCAAAGTTCCCTATCCAGTAGCTGTGTACGCCATCTGGTCCACTACTTTTCCAGTTAGGTGACTTCTTCACCTATTTTTTTACATCCTCTACGTTTATTTTGATATCATCCTGTCTTTTAATATCTTTGCACTTTTCCTCAATATCTCTCATCCACTCAGCTTTCTCATTCTGCCTTACATCTTGTCGCCATATTCCATTCCAGAATGTTGTACTCTCTTCCGCATTGGGCTTGACATCAATTCCTCTTTCCATCCCCACTAGTTTCTCGAACAAAAGCCTCTGATTTGTTTCAAACAGCCTATTTTTATGAAAAGTATCATTTCTAGCATCATACTTTCTAATTTGCCTTTATTGCCTTCACTCTCTGTTTCAGTTCCTCAATTACTGTTCATACTCCCTTATTCTTTACGAAATACTTTTTCTGAAGTCTTACTTTCCAGTATTTACTTTCCAATTTATCTAGCCTTCATTGTTCCAATCTGGTGATGTTACTCTCTATATCCTTAATTTGTTTTTTCATCCTCCCCCTCCAAAAAGGTTCCTGCTTCTTTCCAGTTCTCTTTTCCTTCCTTCCAACAAGATCAGCCACAACGTTTGTTCCAGCTAATATAAGGAGATTGGTTCCGTTTAAATCTACCGTGATCTAATCAATGAGCAGGAAGCAGATTATGATAAAGTCAAGCTCGTCAATTTATCCTTGAGTACCCTCGGAGTTTTTGGCCGATCTTCTGAAAATTTCGATGGCATGCTAAGTAGCCTTAAATGTGATGCCAAGTATAGTAAATACATAAAAAAGCAAATCGTGAACATATGTATACGAACATCATATTATGTATTTTGTAAACGAAACAAGGTGTGGGATAACCAAAATTAATGTTAATATAATCCTTCTTAAAATAATTATTGTACAATAAATATATAGTATCAATTCAAGTAGACATTGATAAACTACCTGTAAAGCGAGGTTTATCTTTGTAGTTGTATATATCCTAATAATCAATAAATAAAGTTTCCATTATTATTATTATTATTATAATAATGCCTTAAACAGGGCTGCTGCCCTTCATAATTCCAGTGTCCTCTGCCCATCTATTGCAGTCTACGCCATCAACACGTACAGACTACCGTCACGATTGTTTGTAGTGGGTGGGCAGGAGTTGAAATCTTCGGAAGGAACAACACAGGGTGACCCTTGTCAACGGCCATCTACGCAATTAGTCTTCAGCCACTCATCAGACACCTCCATGTTGTAAGTTCTGCCAAGCAGTGCTGGTTTGCAGACGATGCAAGTAGTGCAGGGTCTGTAACAGAGGTAAACAAGTGGTGGGATACGTTATCTGAAATCGGGCCTGATTATGGTTTTTACCCAAAAGGTGAGAAAATGTTGGTTGATCGTAAAACCGCAGAAAGAAAATATTGCAAGAGGGTCATTTGGGGAAACAACAATTGACATAACAACGCAAGGACGGAAACATCTAGGAGCAGCTGTGGGATCACGGTCATATTTGGTTGAATATGTTAATGAGAAAGTCGAGGGATGGTTAGAAGAAGTAACCAAGCTAGCCAAATTTGCGGTGTCACAACCTCAAGCGAGCTACGCGGTACATATGTTTGGTCTGAAACACCGATGGACATATTTTCTCCGAACATTACCAGACATCCAAGATTTGATACAACCTTTAGAGATGCAATTTCCAACATCTTTCTACCGGCGTTGACAAATCATGAATGCACCCAGCTCGAACGCGTCATTCTCGCTTTACCCGTACGAAATGGTGGTCTAGGAATTCCAAATCCATGTCATGAAGCAACGAAGGAATACGCAGCCTCTATGCAAGTAACAGGTTCACTAGTACGTCAAATTGAATCACAAATGCATGAATTACCTGACCAATCGGACGTACAAGCACTGAAAAGGAAAGCAAGGCAAGTGAAAAATGAAATCGCAAAAGAGAAAGCTGATCTGATTATCAACTCAGTATCGCCAAAATCAAAACGTATGCTAGACCTTGCCTCAGAAAAAGGAGCTTCTGCTTGGCTACAAGCTTAAGTTCTGCCAATTTCAGATATGGGTTTCAATTTGAACAAGCAAGAGTTTAAGGATGCTTTGAAGCTGAGATACGATTGGCCACTTAGTGATATCCCATCAAACTGCGTATGTGGAGTGCCTTTCAACGTAGACCATGCTATGATATGCGGTCGAGGGGGGTTTATTATTATTATTATTATTATTAAGTCTTTATTAAACATAGCCACAACAGACGTGTGACTTTACATTTAAAATTCTCATGTACAAGGTTCCAAAAAAAAAAAATAAACTTAATTATTATTATGTATCTAAGTTAATTATTCTTAGGTAGAATTCTTAAAAAGACTAAGACTAAGTTAT